TCTCTCTCTCTCTCTCTCTCTCTCTCTGTGCGTGCGTGCGTGCGTGCCTGTCATCTGTGTATATATGTGCTTCTTTACTTTTAATATCTCAAGTTTGGTAGGAGTTGACACATCACCCACCTCTTAGCTGTCTCATCAGAAAGTTTTTTAAAAGAACTGTTCTATTCCTTGCTAAACATAAGACCTTTTTCCAAAGCATGGCCTTTTGGAGACCTCTGAACTGAATCTGTCTAGGCACACATGTGGAAGGTCAGACATTCAGAAACCTGCTGAATATGGCATTTAAGATGCCTAAGATGACAGAGACTCTCAAATCCTAGCACTGACTCTACCAAGATCTCCAAGAAGATACGGACAAACAAGAAAGGATTCCACCTAGATCGTAGTGCGATAACTTCTGAGAAAGACTGCTCTGTTGCCTTGCCCACTGCTAAAACCCAGCCTGAACTGTGGACAAACAGGATACCTAACATGCCTCACATTGCTTAAGACAAGGAAAGGTCAGTCTTCCAAGTTCTCCTCCACAGGAAGGCCTCTCAGATTTGCTGGGCATGGCAGCTGAAGACTGAGCCTGCCCTGGGACCTGTGTCCTCAACTAAGCCATCAACAGCAAAGGAACCTAGTAGGGTGGCTATCTAGTCATGGGTAAGTCTGTCATTTTAATTAATAGATAGGCCATTTAGATTACAGTATACCCTTCTCAGATCTCTGAGGAGCTTGAAGACTAAACTAGTGAAAGAAGTAACGTTGTCTTAAGGAACGCATCTTACAGTGAGGGTATGAGAACTTCTAAGAAAGCATTTGAGGATCTAGAAAGGCGCTTGAGGTTGGTAACTACAAGTTATGAAGGTTAGAGAACATGAAAAAAAAAACCTTGGCTGATGATAGGAACGTGATTTAAGGTATATAGGAGAAATTTAAGAAATGCTTCAGATGGATGGTGTTTGAGGTTGGTAAGCGCAGGGATTTATCTTTTTGTAAACTTAAAAAGATTCTTATAAGTTTCTAGATCCACTCAAATCCAGGTCAAATGAAACTACAGATAAGTGCTCTCAACCAACAGCCTGTTTCCCTCCCCACTTCCTATCCCTAAGGGTGGGACCCATTCCCCTTTCCCTGGTCCTGGATTGCCCTCCCCTACTTCTCCAACTACCAAAACTATGAGTCTATAAGTTTCAAATGTACACCTAGGAAAAATATTTTTCTCTCTAAACTCCTTAATTTTATCTTCTACCCCTAACATACATCTTTCCCAGCATCCAGCCAAGTCCAGATATTTCCTCAGAACCTGCATCCAGGACAGCACCAAAAAAGTTACCCCCAGGTGCTTCAGCCCAGCCTCGATGATTGCTTCAACTGTGCTTGCACACTCCTACCCCCAGATGGTCCCACAACCTGGACAGCAATGAAACAACCAGCTCTTCTCAGACTGGGCCAGCATTCCAGCTTTTGCGCCCCTCCCCCCCCCCCCCCCCCCGTAAATGATGCTCCAATGTCAGCAGGATGTTGACCTTTATTTATTTATTTTTATTTTCAACAAAAGGCTGGAATATTTGATTTTGGACCCTGGGGACAAGGGCCTGAGATGTGTATTTTAATACCAATGCAGACCTGGCCTCCAAGTTCTCCAGGCATACCTCAGGCCCTACCTGTATACCCCACCCCCAACTCTGAACTTTCCAGCTCAGGTTCTGGGCTGTCCCTCTCCCAATGGCTCTTTGATATATATTACCTAGGCATTCTATCTGTCTCTCTCTCTCTCTCTCGCTCTCAGTCCCTCTGTCTCTGTCTCTCTGCCTGTCTCTCTCTCTCTCTCTGTG